ATTTGTTAAAATATTAAATCCATAAAAAGGACGCTCTCAATTTGACGATTTTTTGTCTGATATTTCACCAATTCTGAACTGATTTTATTATTCTTTTTTCAATTTTTAGTGTTTACTCTCGAATTAGTCCGTATTATTTTGTCACGCTTAAAAACAATATATTTTTTAACTAAATCTAAATTTTCACGGTTTAAAAACAGGAAATAAAAGATTTTATTTGACCTAGTAGTATACGATAAAAGCAAACGAAAAAGTGCAAGACGGAGTTAAAATAAGGTCCTCGCAAACTCAATATATAAGACCCCAGGTGTCGTTTTATATTACGGCACCTCGGAATTGGAGTACCCGAAGACAGGAAAATCTTTTCACATTGCATTGATTAAATAATTTACTTACAAATACTGAACAGTGCAGTAAAAGTTGACTCTTAAATTCTGGTAAGGAATATAATAGGTATGGTATATAACATGGAGTTCTAGATATTTTGACAGTATTGTCATGAAATTTAAAGTTTACGAAGTTACGACTTTGAAGCACTATCCCAAGTAATGTTTTATCTCTGCCCTTGTGTAATAATTTTCTATGAAGGAGGATCAATTGCTAAATAAATTTCAAAATTTACCACTATTATCATAATCTTACCTATCTATACATATAAAAACTTGTTCTGACTGACATCTATGCTAGCCTATAAGAAGCATCGAATTAGAATTTCCAAGGGACAGCTAGCAAATCGTAAGTCTTCTATTTTCAAGAATACAGTTGATAATTTACAAATTAAATATTCCATTTTCTGCTTCATCAAAAAATCCTTTAGCCAAGCTTTACCTTTTACCTTTCATAATTCGAGCGATATTGGACCGTCGATTTGAAATAATAATGAAAATTTAATGAATCTTTTATCACGCTCATCACTCCTTATTTCGCTGACACAAGACGTATTTGATATAATTAATTTCTCCGTTATCCTTCGTTGTCTCCCGCGTTTCAGACAAAATGTCTATAATTTTTCTTCATTTTCTAATATCGGTATGAAAAATAATTGCATATAATATATTTTAGTACAAAAGCCTCGTAATATATATTGTTGGAATTTTAATGAGTATCCTGAATTTAATATTCAGGCACGTGGCATCACAGTCAAGAAATTTTAATATAAACACAAAAACAATACTTGCGTTCGAATTCAGTATGCCTGTATATGCGTGCTCATCATTGGAACAATACCGACGTCGGTAGCTTATTAGAAAAACTCTGCCAAACGCGAATCGAATTCGCATACCACCGGCCTTGTATAATATTATAATTTGCATAAGAAGAACGTATTTAATTTCTTCGAAATTATCTTCGAAGACGCGGAACAGTCCAGTACTTTAATGTTTTCCTATAATTTACTATTAATAGAAATAATTCTGTACAAAAATATTTTTGGCCTTATAGGCAAATATAGCCAAATGATTATAATGAAAATAAAATCTTTAAACAAAAATTGTACGAAATGTAGGTCGGCTCTAAGAGCCCCACAGCAAAGTGTCAAACATGAATTATAAATGCATTTGTGGAGCAGCCACATGTTATTACATTGCTTGTTGTTTTTGTATACTTTTGTATTATTTTTTTGTTAAAATATATAAATAAATTGTTTTATTTTTTGTTTATTTTTCCATAAAAAAGATCTTATAATTACTGAAAAACGTACCTAATCTTCGTAACGTCAAGTACCGAAATGTATCGTAAGTTTTTAGTCTTCGTTTCCAACTACGGAACCCTAATAACTAAACTGTACTGTACTTATTCTACTCCTGTCATGTCGCACACACTCATAAATAAACATGCATTACGTGCGAAAATTTTAATGTATCAATATTTACTGACAATTCAACATATGACAAATAGATATGGAGACCGATCCAGAAAACTGTTCAAACCTTGACACACTATACTAAATAACATTCAAGTTAATAAAATAAACGTTACTCAAAACAATCAAAATAATACAATTATTTACATGAAACATCCAATTTAAAGATTATAAATTATCTTCAAGTAGGTAGGTACTGTCAGATATCGAAGGAAAATATTAAACATTTCAATTCGCTCTAACGCTACTAGTTTTTCGCACTTACAAATCTAAATAATTATTTATTCTTTTAAATATTTTACTGTTATTTTATTACATTACAACATAACTTTATTTACGTTACAGATATAATATAATACAAGACAAACGTAATGTTTCTAAAATTGATAGGATAAAATGGACAGGGCGAGAGGCTATATATGTAAGGGAATATGTAAAGCTTTTTTACGAAAAACTTTTTAAACAAACTTACAGTATATAACTATGTATATTTTATAAGAAAGCAACTCAGTGTTGTGGCCGTCTATAAAATTATGGTTCACAATTCGCAAATATTTTGAGTTTAAAAGTTCTTAGTTGGAATATAGTTTTTGTGTAGGTATATGTAAACATTTAAAAGGTAAATTCTGATAGTTCTTCTTTTTTTTACTTGCTACTACTATGACTAATCGAGAAATCGTCAGAGCTATATAAAAAGTATAACTCACAGAGGCTCCTCATGTGACAAATTATGATCGTCTATGCAAAAGAATTAATTGTTCGAATTGACTTCTCTGCAAGAAAAGCCATGATAGGTAATTTATTTATAAAAAAAAGACAATACTTCCTTAATATTTTACCTGTTTCATAATGTTATGTCACTTTCTTTTAAATCAAGGAAAAACGAAATAAAGAGACGAAACGTTTCAACAGCTAAAAATAGATTTATCGGACTTTTGACGGTTTATAAATGAGATGGTTCTTTTATTTTCTGTTACATGAATGTATCACCATATTTCTCAGTGAAATCACTTTCAAATAATTTTTATTATTTATGATATGATTAATAATTGTTTGTAAATTAAACTGGAATGTGTTGCAATAACAATGCATATGGCATTAGCATTCTTACTGCCAGTAGCGATCCCAAGAAGACGCTGTTAAGAAGCAACGGTATCATTGGTTCAATCACAGTAAACGTTTCGTCGTCTTACACGAGACTTATTAATATTATCGCTAATATTATCGAATTATTTATATTATTATTTTATTTTAAAATTACTGTGATACACCGAATTACTATTACTGTTTAGTTAAACATTGCCGGGTTGGATATTTTTCCTCCAATTTTGAATAATATTTGTGTTTGCAAAATATTTAGAGAAAAATGAAATGAGTGTAGAGAATATTTGATAATGCAGTTTGACAGTTTTGGTATTTGTATACAATATATAGTAATATGTAGATTCATAGAATACACGTATGAAGGCAGTAACATGAAGTAAAGAAGTCAGTGTAAGGAACGCCCTTTTTATTCGTCCTTCGCGTAGTGATTACATGGTAAAATGTAGGGAAATCTGACACAACTTTGTGAATGGTAAAGTAAAGGAAATCGTTTAAACAGAAAAAATATTTGAAATTTGGGTAAATATAAAAAATGCACCTGGCAATGTTGGTTTAATTTTATTTTAATGCAATTCATTAATATAATCTAATATTAAAAAACAAGCGTTAAGCGTGACCCTGTGGTATCGTAATCAAGCGTGATATGTGACGTTTGATACCGCGGGCCGTTTCTGTAATCGTACAGTTCATGTTGTATACCGCTTTACGGCGTACAAATACGCGTAAAGTGCTCAGTTTCTTCTTTATATAGTATCTAGTTCAATTTTATTGTATATCTTCTATTTATAAAATAACTTTGTGCTAATAATTCGATAATAACACCAAATTTTTCATAAATCTAATTATTATCGGTTTATGTTTATCAGGAACACATAATTTTGACTGATAGCAAATATATTTCAGTGATATAGTATAATTGAAAATGCGTTTGCTTTTGCGTTTTGTGACTGCGGCCGTGACGTGTGGGCTTATGGTGTTCTTATTGTCACGTATCTCTGACTTAAGTGCAGAACCTATCGGTGCTCATATATCACGCACACGGGTCGCAAGAGACATCGACGAGACTACGCAAGAAAATGTTGTACTTGTAAACGCACCGCTGGAACAGATGAACGACCCATTTCAGAGGAGGCGACAAATTGTTAAGGTTAAAGTTAAAATATGTTAAGGTTAAAATAACTTATTATTTGAAATATCTACCACGAATTTTTCTAATAATAGATATAAGCTGGTACCTACATTTTGTTGCTTTCTAAATTAAGCGACCGATGGTGAATAGAAACATTGACTCGTTACAGGAGACGGTACTACACTTTAATTGCACAAAGTAAATCTATAGCGCACATTCCAGATTTGCGGCCTCGCTTTGCAAGCGGCTCTTACAAATGTAAATTCTCACATTTTCTCGGTCTATTTAAACTGTAATTGGCAAAGTCTCCAGTTTTTCCAAGTCATTGGCGATTTTCTTGCAAAGTTACCGAGACCTAATAATAATTAATGGCCTCAACGAAAGTCCGATATCCTTTCATTAGTGGCCCGTCTCCGCACTCGGTGCGGACCGGCCAAGATTAAAACTTGCTCTCAGGGCGAGAGCTTTGTGGACGCTCCTTTAAAAGGCGCCGAGCTGAGATGTGGTCGCTGCTTATAAAAATATTTGTTCACCTAAACTGAAAGCATGTTACAAATGATATATTCTATTGGTAACACTGTAGGACTCAATATAATCCAATATTTATGTTTATGTTAATTATTTCATACAAAATTTTACGACTAGCGAATACATGACTTAGATAACCAACTCGTCACGCGAATCAATCCGAAGTTGTGTATAAATACATAGATCAATATAATCCATCCTATATTAAATATGTCTTAATGTAATCTGATGAAAATTTATTTGTGATTTGTTGATTCATGATCGTGCAATGATAATCTGAACTTAAAGTATATATCGTAATCGCGCCTTACGTTTTCTAAGATATACCTACCGTAAACTTCTTGTTTCACTTTTTAATATTTTCCTTTTATTTCACAGATGATGCGACACGCGTGGAACAACTACAAACTGTATGCGTGGGGCAAGAATGAACTGAAGCCGATGTCGAAACGCGCGCACTTGTCCAGCGTGTTCGGCGCCGGAGACCTTGGTGCCACCATTGTTGACGGTCTTGACACACTCTACCTCATGGGACTCATGGATGAGTTCCGGGAGGGGCGAGACTGGATTGCAGAGAATTTACATTTCAACGAAATGGTAAGTCTAATTAGTCGTTAAATTTTTGACAAGACGATCGTGGTCGTTATTGAGAAGATTGTACCATTGTAGCATACTTTACAGCATGCCACCATTTCTCTCTTACTGTTGCATTCTGTTCTTCGCAATTTATAAATTTCCTCTTGTCAGGGCATTGGCATACATTGATTATTGTGCTACAATTGGTTCTATCCCAGGCCATATTCTTGACACCTGGGTTCATTTGTAAAAGGAAGGACTGATGCACAATTTTGACCTAATCTAAATTGGCGAGTACCTACCAAATGATTTACATCAAATATGTTCCCCTAACAGCAATTAAGTACTTATCAGTTAACATTTGCTGTGACCTATTTCTATTCCTTTAATAATAAGCGCTACCATTTTCAGTTGTGAACGCAACTGTCAAATAAATGACAGTTTAACGTCGACTTAACGTAGCCGTTAACAACTGTTGATTGTAGATAGGGCTGTCATTGACATCCATGGGAATTTCCCAAAACCAGTTTTCAGTGGAACGGGTGGTATAATTTCTAGTTCGTCATCGGTTTACCTTTGTTCCATTATTAAGATCTTTTCATTTTTCTTTTAATTCATAATAGCTATCATACACGAATATATTTTTGTTCGTGCATTTCTTTTATGTAATCCATCTATCTCTCTTTAATCCTACAAGACTTTCTGACTTAGAAGTCAGTGACAGAAAATCCATTTCTAGGATTTCAAATGACAAGAAATAATCAAATTATTAATTAACTTAATAAATATTACCTGATTTTTATTCGATGTCGATAGTTGAAGTTGTAAGTGGCGCACAATTAAAAAATGTCCTCTTCAAGCCTAGAATGGTTTACAAAGACCAAAGGCGGTTTTAAATAGATAGGAAATTAATTTTAAACGCATCAAATTTAAAACGGAATGAGTATCTCATAAATTCACCGAATGACCGGCATAAATCACCCATTTAATGAATGACCCTACTCAATAATACGAGTATTGCCATTGGCAAATGAATTGAAGCATCGACTTATGTAATTAAATATTGTCAATATGTAACTTAAAAAATGTCTACAAATAATATTATAAAGAGCAATAATTTGATTTTTTGTTCATTTGTTTTTATAATGGATAAAATGAAAAACTATTTAACCGATTATAAAAATTCTTGCGTCCATATTAACCTACATTATTGGCGAGTAACATAGGCTATATATTATTTTCTATCTACCCGTGGGAAGCCGGGGCGGAGCAATAGTCAATAAATAAAAGCAATGCAATTATTCTGTTGTTTAGGATTCCGAATTGTCAGTATTCGAGACCACAATTCGGTTCGTGGGTGGACTACTAACTTGCTACGCGTTCACGGGCGACACAGTGTTCCGGGACAAGGCGGCTGAAGTGGCGGATGCACTGTTACCTGCCTTTGATACGCCCACGGGACTACCCTTCGCCCTCATCAATCCATCCACCAAGGTAAATCAGGCTACTTGCTGTATGTATTTTTTAAGCTACAATTGTCCATTCTCCTATAGAAAACGTTATGTACCTAATAGAACAGAAACGAGTAGTTTGAAATGATGTTTCTTTCTAAAATAGCCAAAAAACCTACTGTTGCTCTTTTCAAATGAAAGCAAATATACAAGTTTCAGATTTTAAAGATGGTATACACACAAAGTTGGAATTTTAGATTTAAGCAACATTAATACATTTAACACCCATTTACGTATGATATTTATATGACATTTATGTATGATAGGTGAGTCTGTTAACTGTTTCGCCCGTCATACTCGTGAATGAGAAATTTTACGCGATGCATGCTTTGATTCAGTCTAAAGCATTATTCAATGCTTTAGTCTGAACCAAAAAATCCAACTAAAGGGCATTGTGAGCTTTTTATTATTTGTTACCTAAGCCTATGGGCTTCTTATCATCATCAACATCAAGAACGTCTACAACACGCATATTATCTTTCCTTAGTATTAATCTCATCACGATACTGTGACTCATGATATATCACGTGTGATGGCATGAACATCTAGTAATTTCACGAGTATTTTTTAAACATTACCAAAATTCTTTTTCATTTTCACCAATTCTTCAAAATCTGCAATAAGCGCATAATGCTCCTGGTATTATCTCCGTAAATTTGTTCAAGTACATGAACAAGCTAACAAGCATAAAATGGTAAACAAACCGACTCGGTGAAAGTTGCATCGTGTCGGTCGTCGGCTTTGCCATTTCCATTCGAATTAAGATTTCCATCAATAGGGCCAAGATAAATGTGGAATATACATGATTGAACAGTATCGGATTCGAAAATAATCATCAAAATCGGATCATAAAAATATTGTTATCGTATAATATGTACACAAATGTTGCCGTGTGGCCCCAGCATAGAATAACCCACCCCTTCTTTTCCCGTGGGTGTCGTAAAAGGCGACTAAAGGAGGACGTGGGATGGGCAACACCGTCCCTCTTAAAACATCTCCAAAGCCTAATTGCGGTTGCCAATCCGCCTGCCAAGCGTGGCAACTACTGACAGAACCCCTCAAGGAGAGGCTTAAGTTCAGCAGTGGACAGTTAAATGCTGACACGATGAGGATCGTGATGTACACAAAAAAAACAGTCGAATTGAACACGTCCTCCTTTCTGAAGTACTAATCACTATTATTCCTATTTTGTAATTGCAACATGGCTATGCTTGCTATTAAGATAAAATTAAAACTGTTAGATATAATTGTAGTATAACTATTACTTGTAACACTTAACTTATTAATCGATGCACGATGATTTATGAACGTCTCAGTCGGTAATTAAGACTAATAGAACCCTACAACAGTTTGTAAGCAAATTATCCGCTATGGTAACATGCCGTAGATAATGTGAACAAACAAGGCAAGCGTGAGTTAAGATTTTTTTTTTGATGGGTGAAAATGGTATGGTAACCCCGCCTACGCTAACGGAATACGCTAGCGGAGCACCAGTGAAGGGTGATAGATGAGAATGAAAACAGGTCAGTTAGCCCATCAGGATGAATTCATCAGGAATTAACTATGATAGTTTCTAGGGGGAACCGCGAGGAGGTCGACCTGGTTGGGTATATTGCTAACAATGGGATTCTCAGTCTCCATTACTAACAATCCCTTTCCTCCCCGTGAACTGAGATTGTTACGAGATTGGAAACATTCCTTTTTGGTTACCTATTTTTTGAGCACCTAAAGTATTTTTTTTGTCATTGTTGATTGGTTTGATGTTCAATCTATGCTTATATTATGAAGCGGAAGTTTGTTCGTTTAAACATGTTAACTTCTGGCAGCTAGTGTGGAATTATTAAAAAATACTTTTTCCTCATTGTACATATTAATACTATCATAAATGTATTTTTATCATTCCGTTTAAAATACAGTAAAGAACAGTAAAATTTAACTTTTCATATTCTACATACACATATAAAGCTTGTTGCGTAATCAAGCTAAGTAAAATTAATTCTAAAAAATAAATAAATCAACAGTGCTCAAACCATAGATGTTCAAACACGTGCTCAAAGTGGAATACTCCGGGCTTACCCCATACCGTGTTAGTCGATAGATCACTAGTGAAATCCCTATGTATGTGTGGCATATTCCTGTAACTGACAAGCTGATTCATCATAGACGATATCAATAAGGGTGCGAACGAAAAATATATAAGGTAATTTCATGCTTCAAAAAATATGTTTGACGAAAATGCATATCTGACTCTAGAGCCATCAACAAAGTAAGACAGGCCCCTAATAAAGGCTTCTTACAAGCTTCAAGACAAAGACAAGCTACAAGACATCACACATCGCCATTACGTGTTGCTATGTCATGAATTTGGTAGCGAACGAATATATATTAGTGCTTTGTCCAATTTTAACGCACAAGCACACATTGCTTCTTCAAAAGCAATCTCTTTAATGGTGAACCCAAACACCGATATACAACGAGATATTTTGTAAATAAATTATATTGAAAATATTCGAATTTAGAACGTGGAATCACAGGACTAAAAGTAAATTTTGCTTCGCAGCAAGCAATATGTGCTACGCAAAGAAAAAGAGCGGCTTCAGTGATCATAAATTTAATATGAACCTAACACTGAACTAAAACCAAACCGCCACCTTAACAAGTCAACTCGGAGGAAGTTCCATTACTCTTCACATATTGTACTTACAGATAATCCTTACTAACAATTTTACAAATGTGGAAGTGAATTTGTTTATTTGTTATTTCTTGATATATTAGCGGCTCAACCAATCTTCATACAATTTGGTGTAGTATTTAAACTAGAAAAAAGCCATATGAGATATATAAGAGATTACTTTTCATCTGGGCAACAAATACATCCCGATCTTGTGAACGATGTCGCGGGCAAAAAAACAGTGTAAATATGAATTAAGTCAGTAATTGTTCAAGGTTAGCACAAGATAATTTGTGTCATTCTAATCATTCCGACATGTAACACCAGGGTCAAAACTGATAAACTTAACGTGTATTAATGAAATTAATTGTATACGTTTTCTTTGTAATCGTTTAAAACAAATTCATCGTGTTCATACTGTGTCGTAATATTTACAGATAATACTCGTAATTGTAACTATTTTTAAGCAACTTGGGTGGTGGTTCTCATTCTCGATTTGTCTGTATTTATTATGGCTATGTTACGCTATTACATTCTGAACTGTTGATAATTCTTTTTATATTTGGTTATTATGTTACTTGATTCTTCTTCATAGCTTCATAACTGAGGAACATGATTATGACGTGCAGCCTGTATCACGTTTTGCCAGTCCGCACGATTTTGTGCTTTGTGAATGAATTCTTGCAAGTTAGCTTCAGTTGTCCGTTGATATATCTTGTTATGCTCGACCTAAACTCCTCTTTCCCTCCACACAGCCGCCTGAAATTATCCTTTCCAGACTGTTTGGATTTCATCTGACAATGTACCCGAAGAACTTCAGAACTCTCTATTTGCGCGTATTTGAAGTTTATTTATTTATTTAAGTTTATTAGCAAGTTGTTCAAGAATAGATTCATTTGTGCGGTGTTCTATGCAAAAATTCGGAGCAATATGCGCCAGCTATATATTTCAAAAGCATTTATCCTCGAAAGTATACAGATTTTCTGTTGGTTCTTTTTAAAGTCGAATATTTATTTTCCCATATAAATTTTATGACAGTTGAAAATGTCCTAAATCAAAAAATAACTATTTCTCCAAAAAAGTTTTAATTTTGGTCCAATCATGGTCAGTAAATTAAAAAATACTGATAATAGGTACTAGAGTAGTCTGGTTTACCGACATAAAAATATTTTCAATTATTTTTTTACGTTTTTTACATGTCACGAATTATATAAATGTAAAAATAAAAACGAAAAAACATGTAAAAATATTAAAATGATGATATAAACCGATAAATATTTACTCCGAAAAAATAATGTTAAAATTATAATTACAATAAATTTTATACGTCACGAACGAATATCAATTTCTAAATGAAAGCAAAACAGCCAGGAAATCTCATTTTTAGCGATCTTTACACGTCATTCCACCGATCACTCAAAATGACATCGATGTTCTTTTATTCCTGACGCTGTATTGCAAATGTTGAATTCGAAATTAAATTTGTTCTAAAAAATGAAACCATATTGCAAAAATAAAGGTGTCAAATTCGAATATACTTGGCATTAGATTTTCATATAGAGGTTGAAATTGAATCGTTAACCATACATAAAGAATGTATCCATCCTCTACAAAAGCGATTCCTAAAAAGAGATCTGTAGAAAAGTTTCCAGGGTTCCGTGAAATTATTTATTATTAGGTGTTAAGTATACTAACCATAATTAAGTGCAAATATTATTTTGAAATAATATACATATTAAAATTAAAGAATAAAAAGTTTCACTTTATAAATATTTAAAATAAAAGTATTTGTTCTTCTTTCAATTACAGTGTCTTTGATTTGTAATCATTTGATATGGGGTTTCTTAAATTTATTTGATAGGTGTTCCGTTACTATAAAAGTTTAAGAACCTTTGCTCTAAAATATAATAGAATAGTTACATTAATTAAAAATTCTAATAGAATAATAGAAAATTTTGAGTATCTTATACTAACAGCTGGACACACTCCTTTTTTTGTTTTTTTTGGGAAAGTCATTTAGTTTCACTTGTTTCAACACTTGTTTTAATTTAAAATCCTAATATTTGACAAATTTACCTGCACAGTATACTTTAACTGGGTTTGGGCTCCATTCATCATAAAACATCTTTACAAATTTTATAAATTTTGATTACTAGAGCTACACCTCTTCCTCTACACCTTTATGTAGGTACGTATACTAAATGCACCGGACATTAATTACAAAAGAATCATAACATTCTATTATGATAATAGTATAATTAGTTATGCCGGTGTGAATCTCCAACCATAACCATACGCAATATAAATGGCTA